CAATTGGTATACAGTGAAATTGTGACAGCGCAATTTCGTTATCACGTTGTTAAGCAGAGTCTGATAATGTCATTCAGGTGATTATTACTAAGCAGATCCACACTACTTATTATTCGTTGATTCTTCGAGTTTTGGTGGAGCTAGGCACCCCGAGTTGGAATGATCAGCAAACCATGTCATTTTTGTCAAAAACTTCCTCTCACTGATTTAGTCCAGTATCGTCAGTGCTTCACTTTTGTCATTGAGAAGTACAGTTAGCATCAGGGATTTAGAGATCATTGAATTGTTCATACACATGTCTGATAGTTAGTGTTGTGATTCAGTCATTGGCTGTGGAGTTAATTCTTGCATACGCATTGTGCTATTGAGCAAAATTATTTTGAACATGTTATGAATCGTCACTTAGTCTTTGTGAACATCTTGCTAGACTGCAGAGCCCATTGAGTCTATATTATATCTTCCTTTTTTGCTGATTATTTATATAATAAAATGTCTGCCACAAATTGTTCCGCAGCAACGCGCGGGGAATCTTCTAGTAATATTTAAAAAAGATCCACTCAATGCATCTTTCTCCTCATCTGCCTCCTTCTTATTTTTTCTTTTTTGACTTCCGGATGGATACTTTTTACCGAAACTTGACATGACCCTGCTCAAATTCAAAGGAACAATTAGCTTTCAAAATTCGCGCAAAGCTAACTAAAAATTAAAATATTAGATAAAGTACCAAAGATCATCTAATATAATGAGAAACTGCTAGGGCCTAATTAGTACCTTCTCACTGTAATCTAATCGGCAACGCGGGCACAGTGATTCAACTGCCCTGAAAACAATTCGTCAGTCCCTGTTAAGCTGTTCGATCGATCGAGAAATTGGGAATTAGGATTAGAAAGAAAAGAAATAGGACAAAGATCATGTGAGGGAAGAGGGCGCGACCAGATGTACCTGCCGCAGTCGCCGCGTCGTTCGTGAGGAGGCAGAGTCGAAGAGATTAGACAAACAGGAAAAAAGGGCAGGGAACAATCGATCCAAAGTTTACAGGAGTAAATCAATCCAACGATTCCTTTTCCTATCTCCGGTTTCCACGTGACTACGTACAAACATGGGCCAGGCCCAACATGTCTTTACTTTCCAGGCTAGTAGTGATCGGGCGATCGGCCAGAAGCTGAGCGAGGAGCGCTGAGACGTGAGAGAAGATTAGTTTCAGTTTTTCCCGATCGAAGACCTGTATATACGTACGTACGTATACCTGGGAGGGGCCCCGTGACTTTTAGGGGCCCGGGGCGGCCGCCCCGTTCGCCCCTTCCCAGGACCGGCCCTGCTTCTGAGCTTGTGATCGTGGACTTTCGACGAACGATCTTCCAATAGTCGCGCCGCTGGAGAAGCGTTGGCGGATGGGTGGACATACGTCTTCCCACCTTAGACTTTTTGGTTGATATACTTGTATTATAGTGAATGTACTTGTGTAGTGAAGGATTGGACTTGGAAGAATTTGGTCGATGTATACCATCACGTATTCTGTATCACAACTTAAGCTGGTGTAACCATCTTGATCTTCTCCGCAGACTTTTGATGCACACTATCTCTCCTTTTCGCACCATTGCATAATAGCTTCACTTCTGAGCTGTTGTGATCGTGGACTTTCGAGTGTGAAGATACGTACGGAAGTGGCTCTCTTTTCCAATTCTGCCTGCAAGGCATCATAATAAGCCACTTCTGGAGACATCCTCTCCACAGCTTAAGCATGTGATACACAGGTATAAGCTGACTTTGCTTTGGCTATAGCTGCAACTGCCAAACATTCTAATGTCAACGTGTGATGCACTGTCCTGGAAAAAAATGCACTGTCCTGGAAATGTCAAGGAAGTAGCTAGGCAGCAAATCATTTGTCAGCATGGTGCGCAGATCCGGCTGTGTCAGCATGCTTGTCCGGCACCAGTGTGTCAAATCTGACAGCAAGCGTTGGCCGCTGCATGCCAATCGACGGACACGCGTACGCTTCAATGCTTCGTCGTGCCTGATATGTCCAAACACGATGTCAGCTGAAAGGAAATGGTAACTCCTTGCTGCTCACATATGGCACGAGGCAGACGTCTTGATCTTATCGAAGGTCATGCGTGACGATGGGTTGGAGTTGGAGATAGAAAGCGTGGGAGATTAGAGCATCTAAAGCCGGACTTGGCACCGGTCACACCTTAAAAAGTGCATTTCATATCTAGATACCTCAAATCCATATTATTACATGCAACGTAAAATCTAATCTAAGCGAAGCTCGTCCGATTACGCTCCCCGCTCGCCCGGCTCTGCCCTGGCCATGTCCAGCGGCCGGCTGCGCTCCTCAAAGTGTTGGTCCGGTCACTAGCAAAGTAAAGTAGGGCATAGGACACGAGCTGGCTCACGGGACTCGAGGCGTTGCCATCTCGCATGCCCTACTCTTCCTAGTCGGAGCCCGAACCCAAATGGTGCCGGTGGATGTCAGATCAATGACGAATCCATCCGGGGATGAGCCGCCGACGTCCACCACGATACGGTTGCGTCGCCCGGACCGATGCCCCATGATGAACTCCACCTCGCCGACGTCCGCCGCCGCGAGGGCTGCCGCCGCCTCCCGCGCCCGGTGCCTTGCACGGCGGGCACGCCATGCCATGGCCTCGTGGGACGATGGTGCGTCCTGAATATCGGCGCGCCAACGGAGGGGTTGCGCGTCTGCCAACGCGTTCGGGCGCCAGACAGACCGCATGGCCTCCGGTGAGGCAACTACAGCTGGCCTAGCGCCGGATTCATGTGCCATTTGGGCGGACGCAATCGATTTCCTAGCGCAGCCGTGCACGGGCCTCCTCCAAGACACGGCAGAGCGCAAGCCAGACGGCCATCTCCTCCTCGGGGCCGCGTGGGATTAGTTTGGGGTCGACGGATCTGAAGCTGAGACTCGGATCCGCTGCCCGCCATGCCGGAGACGGCCGGAAGGAGGCGAAGATAAGCTTGGGTGGCGGAGGGGATTAGAGGGAAGGGGAATGAAGTGGCTAGGGTTTGGACTGACGAGCGGATGAGGAGAAACTTATGTGAGGTCAGGTGGGCCATCATGGCCCGGGTCCTCCATGGCGGGGGTGCCCGAGCGTCCCATTCTTGTGACCTTGAGTTGTCAAATTCATCAATTAATTCTAGCAATATCTGTTTAGCTTTTATTTTTGTGTGGGGAGCAATATCCGATTAGTTGATATGCCAATTTACCAGACGGCGGGTCTGATTAGCAATCTCAACCTTTGATGTTGATATTACAAGTAAACATACTTCATAGGCACCTCGCCTTCATATTAACCAAGTCATCGGTTCCAAAAAATATATTAACTAAGTCATTTTAACTAAGGACAATCTGGCAAAGCGCAACTGGACAGGACCTACAAGGTGTAATATTTGTGATCGGGATGAATCTATGAAACACCTCTTTCTTGGCTGCCCGTTGGCAAAAAAAATTATGGCAGACGGTTCACATAGCCTTTAACATTACTCCCTCGAATTCTGTCAGCACGTTATTTGGGACGTGGCTTAACGGGATAGATTCCGAAACAGCCAGACACATTCGTGTAGGAGTATGTGCTTTATTGTGGGCAGTCTGAAACTACAGAAATGATTTGGTTTTTAACAGAACAACAAATATTCATTTTTTGCAGGTTATCTTCCGAGTCACTGCGTTGATCCGTATGTGATCGCTACTCACTCCGATGAAGGCCAGAGAGCGTTTTGGTTACTGGATCTATCCGATGGGAGATGGTAGCACGGGCTATTTTCAATCGGTTTGGATGACGGTCATGTAATAGGATAGGCAATTAGTTTTCCTATCTTTCTTATGCCATCCGGTTGTGGCTTTATGTCTACTTATTTTTTATGCTCTCTGTGAGCTTTTTTTCCTTTTTGTTGAGACTTTAAGACCTTTGTTGAACCTATTTGCTTATTAGTTAAGTTGGCCGTATGCATCGTTCTGATGCAGAGGCCTAAGAAACCCCCTTTTCATAAAAAACTTCATAGGCCCCGCCTTCATATTGATAATGCAATCATACTTTTTAGCTGATGTGCCAATTTCTGACAAGGACACGATAGTGCATCATCGTCTTCATTTAAGTTCTTGCCGTCTACTGTAGCTGCCAATATTGATGTCCTTGTCATTATTATTAAACATCACCTTTTTTTTACGAAGAGTGGATTTTATTGTCACAAAATAAAGCATTAAAGAAATACAAATACAACGAGCATGCACCCGGCCTTCTCTTCGGGGTATGATCAAATATCACTCGATACACGCCAATCGAGAGCAAGACAAGTTGTTAGAAAGCTATAGTTTTTCTTTTCTTTTGCGGGAGACAAAACTGTAGGTTTTAATAATAATAATAATAATAATAATAATGATTACCAATCGTTAAATTGAGGGTGGAATTCCAACAATGATGATCATCATCATCATCATCAACAACAACAACAACAAGAGAGCGAGAAGGCATAGTATCAGCCCCAAACGCAATAGTGCTCTAACAGAGAATCAACTTGATCTCCTTTAGTGGCTGAACTCAGCTCAATATGCAGTCGGGCAGCTTATGCATGGGACCTTGTTTCAACAGAAGTTTGAACCTATTTGCTTATTTATAAAGGTGGCCGTATGCATCGTTCTGATGCAGAGGCCGGAGAGTTCCCTCTTTTCGTAAAGGAAAATTAAAATAAAAAACCTTGCTTGAACAGAAACGCTTTGCCCAAACGAACGAGGAACCAAACAGCCAAGACAAGTAGAAACGGAGGTCAACTCAATTGATGCAGGATTACTCTTCGCTTAGTTTTTGTCAACTTTTTTTGACCAAATAACAAAAGAACTTGCTTTACACACACTCCTCCAAGAGAAGCTGATCGAAACAACAAACTCTACACACCCGCTCCTGATCCTAGCTAGAAGAAAGGCGCGGCAGCTCTAGCAGCTGTGGCTTACAACTTCGTGGCATGTCAGAACAGCAATATAATCAAGAGGAAGTAGCCGCCGCTGCTTTGGGTTTGGGGTGCACCTTCTTCTTGATGAGGCCAAAGAAGCCTCCCCTGCTGCTCGCACCACCACCAACAGCAGCCTTATTCTCTCCAGCGGCGCCGGCGGCCTCCATGTCCTTCCTGCTCTTCGCGCCGTCGAGCGCCGCCGCCGCCGCTTCGGCTTGGTCCATGCGCCTCAGCTTCTCCTTGTAGGCGTTCTTGAGCACGTAGGCCTCCACAAAGTCTCCTCCCATCATGGACGCCATGTCAGTTTCTCTAACAAATTCTTCTTGCGCTGCTTGCTGCTTCCAAATTGCTTTGGGACTTGCGTGGGAGGGTTGAGTTGAGGCGCGTGCCCGGCTGTTTATATAGGCCCGCCCTGGTGGATGGATGGAGGCGCGGCGGGAAGATTAGACTAGACTTGGCATGCAAGCTGAGGCGCGGAAAAGTTAAAGCAAAAGAAGAAGGATCGAGGCAACTTGGGGAGCACGGGGAAAAGTCATGTCACGCGTGACGTACAAGACCAAGCGAGCAGGCACCGTAGGATTTTGTCGCCGCGAGGAAACGCGCCGGAAGAAGCGGAGTGGGAGAGTGGCACGTATTTGTCCTCCTGTTATTGACCGTCGATCTCATGAGTCGTGCGGTCAGCGTTGCCGCGCGACGCAAGGCACGACCACTGTCTCCACTTCCTTCCTGGAACGTGGAGTTTAAGGTGAGCTGAGTGCGACGATCTGGCGAACAAAGTCGCGCACAAGTTAGCTATGGATGTGTTTGGTAGTCCGCATGCTCCCTCCGTACTTAAAAGTGTGTATTTTCAACTTTATTGAAAAGTTAAACCTTTTATGTTTGATCGTATTTATTTATACAACAAAACATCAACATTTATACCATCAAACTACTAGTATTAAATTCATGATAAAATATATTTTTATTATATATCTATTTGGTTTCACAAACATTGATATATTTTTGCACAAACTCGGTTAAACTTTGTGATAGTTTGACCTTCCAACAAAATTGGAAGTGTACTTTTTCAAGGACAGAGGGAGTACACCTTAATCAGAGCATCTCCAGCCGTTTGGCCCTGCAGGGCGTCGAAAAAGAGCAATCTGGGGTGAGCCGGCGATAAACTCGGCGCCGGGGGCGGTTCGGCACCCTGCCGTTGCCCCCCATGTAGCCTCCAGCGCCTATTTCGGCCCAATTATGTCCAGAAAGGCTCGATATCTGCGTGAATCAGCCCATATTCGGCGCGGTTCGACATGTTTCTGTTGGGAAATGTAGTAATTTCAAAAATTTCCTACGCACACGCAAAATCATGGTGATGCATAGCTACGAGCGGGAGAGTGTTGTCCACGTACCCTCGTAGACTGTAAGCGGAAGCGTTATGACAACGCGGTTGATGTAGTCGTACGTCTTCACGATCCGATCGATCTTAGTACCGAAAGTACGACACCTCCGCGCTGCACACGTTCGGTTTAACTCACGATCCAACATAGTGTCGAGGGGGAGTTTCGTCAGCACGGCGGCGTGATGACGGTGATGATGAAGCTACCGGCGCAGGGCATCGCCTAAGCACTGCAACGATATGACCGAGGTGGATTATGGTGGAGTGGGGCACTGCACACGGCTAAGAGATCAATGATCAATTTGTGTGTCTATGGGGTGCCTTTTTACGCCTTGAGCTTGCGTTGGTTTTCCTTGAAGAGGAAAGGGTGATGCAGCAATAGTAGCATAAGTATTAACCTTAGTTTTTGAGAACCAAGGTATCAATCCAGTAGGAGGCTCCTCAAAAGTCCCACGCACCTACACAAACAAACAAAGAACTCGCAACCAACACAATAAAGGGGTTGTCAATCCCTTCACGGCCACTTGCGAAAATGAGATCTAATAGAGATAGTATGATAAGATAAATATATTTTTGATATTCTATAATATAGATGCAAAAAGTAAAGATGCAAATAAAAGTAGATTGGAAGCAAATATGATAAGAGATAGACCCCGGGGCCATAGGTTTCACTAGAGGCTTCTCTCAAGATAGCATAAGTATTATGGTGTGTGAACAAATTACTGTCAAGCAATTGATAGAAAAGTGAATAATTATGAGATTATCTAGGCATGATCATGTATATAGGCATCACGTCCACGACAAGTAGACCGACTCCTGCCTGCATCTACTACTATTACTCCACACATCGACCGACTCCTGTCTGCATCTAGAGTATTAAGTTCATAAAGAACAGAGTAACGCATTAAGCAACATGACATGATGTAGAGGGATAAACTCATGCAATATGATATAAACCCCATATTTTTAACCTTGATGGCAACAATACAATACGTGCCTTGCAACCCTTTCTGTCACTGGGTAAGGACACCGCAAGTTTGAACCCAAAGCTAAGCACTTCTCCCATGGCAAGAAAGATCAATCTAGTAGGCCAAACCAAACTGATAATTCGAAGAGACTTGCAAAGATAACTCAATCATACATAAAAGAATTCAGAGGAGATTCAAATATTTCTCATAGATAAACTTGATCATAAACCCACAATTCATCAGATCTCGACAAACACACCGCAAAAAGAGTTTACATCGAATAGATCTCCACAAGAGAGGGGGAGAACATTGTATTGAGATCCAAAAAGAGAGAAGAAGTCATCTAGCTAATAACTATGGACCCGAAGGTCTGTGGTAAACTACTCACAACTCATCGGAAGGGCTATGGTGTTGATGTGGAAGCCCTCCATGGTCAATTCCCCCTCCGACGGAGCGCCGGCGAAGGCTCCAAGATGGGATCTCGCGGATACATAAGGTTACGGTGGTGGAAATTGTGTTTCGTTGGCTCCCTGGATGTTTTCGAGGTACGTAGGCTTATATAGGAGGAAGAAGTACGTCGATGGCCGCCCGAGGGGCCCACGAGACAGGGGGCGCGCCGTACCCTCTCGTGGCCGCCTCGGCTGCTTCTTGACTTGCACTCCAAGTCCTCTAGATCATGTTCGTTCCAAAAATCACGCTTTCGAAGGTTTCATTCCGTTTGGACTCCGTTTGATATTCCTTTTTTCTTCGAAATACTGAAATAGGCAAAAAAAACAGCAATACGGGTTGGGCCTCCGGTTAGTAGGTTAGTCCAAAATGATATAAATGTGTAAAATAAAGCCCATAAACATCCAAAAAGGGTAATATAATAGCATGGAACAATCAAAAATTATAGATGCGTTGAAGACGTATCAGTGCCCCCTGGCCACGTATATAAAAGATGGAGGGAGAAGGAGGCCGGCCCTCATAGGGCGCGCCCAAAGTGTGGAGTCCTACTAGGACTCCCTAGTCCTAGTAGGATTCCACCTCCCACATGGAATAGGAAAAAGGGAAGGGAGAAGGAGAAGGAAGGAAGGGGGTGTCCCCTTTCCCTAGTCCAATTCAGACCAGTCCATAAGGAAGGGGCGCGGCTAGCCTTGAGGCCTTTCTCTCCTTTCCCGTATGGCCCATTAAGCCCCAATACGAATTCCCGTAACCCTCCGGTACTCCGAAAATACCCGAATCACTCGGAACATTTCCGATGTCCGAATATAGCCTTTCAATATATCGATCTTTACGTCTCGACCATTTCGAGACTCCTCGTCATGTCCCCGATCTCATCCGAAACTCCAAACAAACTTCGGTCATCAAATCACATAACTCATAATACAAATCATCACAGAACGTTAAGCGTGCGGACCCTACGGGTTCGATAACTATGTAACCATGACCGAGACTCATCTCTGGTCAATAACCAATAGCGGAACCTGGATGCTCATATTGGTTCCTACATATTGTATGAAGATCTTTATCGGTCAAACCGCATAACAACATACGTTGTTCCTTTTGTCATCGGTATGTTACTTGCCCGAGATTCGATCATCGATATCTCAATACCTAGTTCAATCTCGTTACCGACAAGTCTCTTTACTCGTTCCGTAATGCGTCATCCCGTAACTAACTCATTAGTCACATTCCTTGCAAGGCTTATAGTGATGTGCATTACCGAGAGGGCCCAGAAATACCTCTCCGACAATCAGAGTGACAAATTCTAATCTCGATCTATGCCAACTCAACAAAGACCATCGGAGACACCTGTAGAGCACCTTTATAATCACCCATTTATGTTGTAACGTTTGGTAGCACACAAAGTGTTCCTCCGATATTCAGGAGTTGCATATCTCATAGTCTGAGGAACATGTATAAGTCATGAAGAGAGCTGTAGCAATGAAACTGAAACGATCCTAATGCTAAGCTAACAGATGGGTCATGTCCATCACATTATTCTACTAATGATGTGCTCATGTTCATCAAATGACAACACATGTCTATGGTTAGGAAACACAACCATCTTTGGTAAACGGGCTAGTCAAGTAGAGGCATACTAGGGACAATATGTTTTGTCTATGTATTCACACATGTACTAAGTTTCTAGTTAATACAATTCTAGCATGAATAATAAACATTTATCATGATATAAGGAAATAAAAAATAACTTTAATATTGTCTCTAGGCATATTTCCTTCAGTTTTGGCGTGAATTTTTGCATACAAATAGAAATCAATTAGTTCGTCACATAGTTCGGCATGGTTCACCGTGTTTCGGCGTGTTTCGGTGTGTTTTATCACATAAATCAAATAGTTCAGCAAATAGTTCAATACAAATTATATAGTTTAACAAATAAAAAATCAAGTTTCATCACACGTCATTCCCGCGTCGCCTCGGCCTCGCCCTTGAGCCTCCATAGGTGCTCCACCAGATCGTGTTGCAGTTCTTGATGCACCTGTGGGTCTCGGATCTCCTGACGTATATTGAGGTAGTCAGTCCAGTTTGCCGGTAGCTGGTGATCAACTTGGGCAAGAGGACCCTGCCTGTAATATGGTTCAGTCTCAAACACTGGCTCTTCCTGCTCGCTCTCAATGATCATGTTGTGCAAGATGACACAACAAGTTATGATCTCCCACATTTGATCTTTCGACCAGGTCAGAGCAGGGAACCGAACAACAGCAAATCGAGATTGGAGCACACCAAATGCCCGCTCGACATCCTTCTCGCAAGCCTCCCGAACCTTCGCAAACCAGGCGTTCTTGCCTCCTGGCACAGGGTTTGAGATGGTCTTCATAAACGTCGACCATCTCGGATAGATGCCATCAGCTAGATAGTACCCCTTGTTGTACTGCCTCCCATTGACCTCGAAGTTCACCGGAGGAGAATGACCTTCAACAAGCTTGGCAAAGACTGGGGAGCACTGCAG